AACTTTAGGGTGCCCTTATCCTTGACCTAAGAAGCACTGACATCAAGTTTCTGTGCAATGGATAATCCTGTTCATGGAGACAACACAATACCACATCCTCAACTTAAGTTTAACCTACGTCTAGAACCTTACATACAACTTATTTTGTTTACTGATGGAGGATCTTTATGTGCAAATTCCTGTAGTTTGGAGCAATTAGTTTATCTAACTCTTTGTCTTGCCTAGGTGTAGTGGATGGTAAGGCTCAGAGTCAGGGCTTAGTAGAGGAGGCTGAACTGCAGGCAATATTCCAAGGAGTCACTTTTGCATAGCAGATTGCAGTGGGACATATCCTCACCAGTTCTTCATGAAGGGAGGTCTTTGTTCGATKATTGATGGCATCACCTTACAGGGGAGGGGAGGTATTAATCCATTTTGAAAACAGGGGATGTTTCAGTACTTTTTACGTGAAATTTCAAATGAGGTTTCAGTCTTTTTCCTAAAATTAATCATTTAGATGCCTTCAAAACACCACAGAATCCTATCAAAAAGAAAAWAGTAAAATATAATATAGTCAAACAAAATTGCAACAGCAAAACTTTTCTTCATATGTAAAACGATACCATTTATTTGCAATTGCAATTTCATTTACACTACTAGTACAAAATACAAATGCATGGGAATACAAATCAGAAGATTGTAAATTCTGTTTCAGGTTTTACTTTGCTTTAAGATTTTATTTTACTATACACGTCAAAGAAACAAAACAAAGTGAAATTCAAAACAAAAATAAACCAGAATTTGCATTCAACTCATTTGCACTCCCATACCTTTGCACCAGTGCAAATGAAATTGCATTGAAAACAAGCTAGAAAGTTTTATTCTAGTAAAGCTAAAACCTATGGAGCTAAACATCGGTTTATCTACCAAATGAATCCCTGACTTGACAAAGAAGCTAATATGTTTGTCTTGGTACTMTTATTTCTKCTTATGCACCTCAAATATCCAACTCGCTTCTTGTTTTGGAAGGTGTGCTCCAGTGCCCCCATTGTCAGACCAGATCCCTCAAGTTCGTTCTCAAAATGATAAATGGCATTTCAATAAACTAGTTTCGAGCATGTTCTATTTACCTATCAATAGTGTGCACCAACACAAGGCCATTCAGCTCTGTTGGATTGAGCTTTTCTCAAACTAGGTGAATTCCTTGGGGAAGAAAGTCAGAACTCATAATTTGAAGAGATATTTAATTAGTTCTAAAACGTCACAAATGTATGGACTAACACAAGTAGATATTATATTATAAAACAGAAACAAGCATATATCAGGTCAATAAGCATCATTCAGTGGACCAACATGAGCAACTGATTCAAATATACCCAAAAATAATCAATAGTGAATCCTAGCTCATAGAAATGTCAATAACTTTGAGGGAAAAAAATCAGGAATAACCAAGGCAGAAAATTAACCACACAAACATAAAAGGGTATGTAGAACATATAGACACCCAAGTGAAGTGATGAAAAAGTAACAAAAGAAATGGTAGCGGAACCCTATAGATTGATAGAATTATAAAATAAAGAGAAAAAAAAAGATAAGAACAAAAGTCCTGCCTTTTACTCCACGCACACACATTCCTTTACTCCTACAATCCTTTAAATCACAATGGAAACAAAGATTGGATAATGTTATAACCCTAGTTTAGAGGTATTGACCTGAATGCAACCTACACTATTAAATGGGGGAATAATGATTTTCATTTATGCGCATCATCAAAAAATTAAGGTGATCCAGAAATACATGGCAGGAACCGAGCAATGTCTCAGAAATACAAAAGGCAAAAGAAATACTCGAGGAGGACTGGGACTCAATAAAGCTCACATCTCTTCATCCCCTCCCTAGACAACCTATCTGCTAGCAAATTAACAGATATTTGGACCAATCTAGAAGAGAAGGATCTGGCACCTCTGAAATAATCCAAGTAGCAACTTTTACAGACCAAAATAGAGAAGGGTTAGGTTTTATCCATTGGACTTCGTCTCCAACAGGTTCTTCAAATCGGAACCCAATGAGACGGTGTTACTCCATTGTCACGCCACCAATAGGAACAAACAAAAAAATAATACATATGCATAAAAACTTACCTCGCCGGAGATGGGTTCAGTTCGGTTCCCCAGCTGCCGAAGGAGTGACAAGAGATGAGGGTTGAAAACCTAGAATCGGCAAAGAGAAGGTTTGATGGTCTGCTGTATAAAAAGGGACGAATGAAAGGAAAATGTATGTGAGAGAGAGGGAATGAGAGGAAGAAGATGAAAGATGGAGAGAAAAATCGTGACTTACCTCTTAATTCGTTTGATGCTTCTCAGCTGCCGAAGAAAATAGGAAAATGCGAATATGCTCAAAGAAGAATGTGAAAGGGATTTTGCTGGTGAGGTTTGAGGGAAGACGAAAGAAGTTACGGGATTTGTTTGCGCGGGAGAGAAGATTTAGCGGGCCTTTTTTTATTTTTCGGTGTATCTCTTATCCAGCGGCAAATATGCATCAGCCACCGTAAGTAATCATACCTGGAGCAGCGGATTTTTTCTATTCGCTGCTAAAAAATGAATATATAGCGGCGTTTTTCTTAGTGCCGCTAAGAATTCCGCCGCTATATACGAACTTTGTTGTTGTGTAAGAAGGTTTCTATGGACAAATGATAGATACTTATTCAGTTACAGTTGTCTCATGGTAACAACATATATACCCAAAAGAAAAAAAAAAAAAAGATTTTTGATAAAAACCTCATTTTCTCTGCACAAGTCAAGCTTTGAAAGAACTTATTATATACTTCTTTCTTCCCTTCAATTGTTCAAGATTGGTCATCGAATTCAACTTTTTATAAACTCAATGGATGTAAACAGTCTAGGAGTAAGGAGATTTAATTTGGCAAAATATATATAACTATGTTTTCATCTTTTTTTACATAGTATATTATATTTTCATCTTCACCATGATCAATATCTCAACAAAACGGTCCTAGCGAACATACAATGTCTTTTCTTTTCTCTATGCTCAAACCAACAAGAAGTTTACATTCTCCAGTTTTGTTAGTCCTGCTAGTTGCTTCACAGGTATGTCATTCTAACCAGTTTTTCTTTACCAAGTCTATCTGTTCCATTGCTATCACTTAGATAAACTTCTCTTCAAGCCTCTACACTTTCAAAAGAATATTTGAATAATGAGCAGAGGTAGGTAACTAAGAAACTTCGGCAAACATATTTAATCTGTATATCAAACTATAGATATATCATAATGCCAGAAATATAGAAATTGTAGCTATATATACACAAGAATTTACTTTGTGATACTGAAGTAGAAAATATTTCTGCTGACAGAAAAACAGATCATAGACCATAGACCCTATATGTGTTATTTCTGATAACAACTGGGTTTCAACAGTGCAAAAACCATAGACCAATGTTTGGTGACAGAAGCACAGAAGACTTGTAATTGTTCACCCTTGTTGTCATAGTTGCAGGACCAAAGTGGAGGCTAAAGCTTATTATTTCATTTTACTACTTTATAAACTTTCTGTAATCCAAGTAGAATGTATTTTGTTTTACTTGGATTGATTATTTAATTGCATTTCTTCATCTAGTAATATCTTCTTCTTCTTCTTCTTCTTCTTCAGGTCTTCATTGTCATGTCTACCTAGCAAGCATTAAGATTTGATATTATACTACATAAATCAAATACTAGGTACAGATAAATGTAGAAAATAAGGTTTCTTTGGGATATAAAAGAACTACCTTTAAAAGAAAAACAGCAATAGAACTACCTTAAAAAAGTGATATCTTGCAATTTCATGCCCTTCACAAAATTATGCAAACCAAAAGTATTGGCCGACTGATTTTGCAATTTTCCCCAAATAACAGCAAGCCCACAGACAAATGCATTCATTATTATTAAGACCAACCAAGCAAATTGGACAGGCAAGATTTTTAGGGGGTGTTCTTTTTTGGGATTTTGAGAGGGGGAAAGTTGGTCAATGGGATTTTAGTTCCCATTGACCAAGAAAACCATGTTCTTTTTTCAGATTTATATGGGGACCAAGGAAAGTTTATTTTCCTAGGAAGTGATACCCATCTCCTAGGTGGGTAAATAACTTTCCCACCTAGGGGAAAAATTGACAACACTTGAATGGGACAAAAATGCATTTTTTAATAATGTATTTTTATGGATAAGATGGTCATTTGACTTATTTATACGAGAAATAAAAGAACATGGGTAAATGCACTTACCCGGGTAAGTGTTTCCTAGAAAAAACTTACCTAGGTAATTACATTTACCCGGGTAAGTAATGACATCAATTTAGTACATTTAAACATATAGGAACCCATGTTTATTGCTCTACGCCATACAGCATAAGGAACCTGAACATGTTTCTTAACTATGTACCTGTACTGTATATGTAGCAGCCACCTTAACCAAATTTGTGAAGCCACAAGCCATAGCCGGTTGAACTATCTCTATAAACATGATGGTTAATGTTTTCCCTTTTCAAGCCAAATGCAACAACTTGAAAACAAGATGGTCGACAAGGAGAGAGCGACAGGAGGGGCAGGACAGCAAGGGTATCAAAAAGGGGCAGCTCATAAGGACACTGTGGATATAAATCCTTTAGTAGAAAAGGAGGTGTCAGTTGGGAAGTCGTTGGGTTTATTTTTCTTGGGAGGGGAAGAGTTCGCAGGGAAGGCTTTTAGACAGTTCGAGAAAGACAGAAGAGAAGAGAAGAGGAAGATAGAGGGAGGCCGTCTGAAGAACAGTGACTGGGACGAAGAAGGGGGAGAGGAGGAGTTCCTGGGGGAGGAAGCGTGAGGAGAAGGGCCCTAGTCTGGTATAAAGATAGGCAGGCCGTTTTGTCAGGATGAGGAGTCACTTGGATGTTAGGGGTTTGAGAGAGAAAAAACAGAAGAAAATTGGTCAGGAATATGATTAGGCATTGTAGTCCTGAGATGGTCTTTACTCCAGGAAACAATTAGGAGATTCTGTGGAGCTGCTTTCCTTCCGCCGTGAGCTGGGTCAGCTGGAAAGAAAGAAACACGAGACTGTTTGAAGGATAGTCTTTGAAGTGGACGATTCTTTTTTTTGGATTTTGAGAGGGGAAAGTTGGTTAATGGGATTTTGATTTCTATTAACCAAGAAATCCATGTTCGTCTTTCAGATTTATGTGGGGACCGTGAAAGTTTATTTTCCTGGGTATACCCATCTCCTAGGTGGATAAATTGACTTTCCTCTCTAGGGGAAAGTTGCCACTACTTGGATTGAACAAAAATGCCAATTTTAATAATGAAATTTGTATAGTTAAGATTGTCATTGCCTTATTTACATTACATAGGAAATAAAAGAACATGCGGGTAAGTACATTTGACCGGATAAATGATTTACCAAAAAACGAATGGGGCAGAATAGTATCACTTTTTAGATTTTTCTTGTGTTGTTGCTGTTGTTGGCTTTGCCCAGGTGCCATTTAGTCACCTCTTTTATATTCCTTTTTATTTTAATACTTTTTTATATTACTCTTCATAAAAAAGACTAGCAAAAAATACTAAATAAAAGTCATTGCAGTAATAGCTTAAATTTCATTAAATCTGAGATCTCCAATGGCAAGGTCTCATATTCCTCGTGAACATAAACATGAACAAATTTGTCATCTATCTGATGTTCATTTCTTCAATAAATGAGTCTAGTGATTGTTAGCTTCATATTTTGAACCAGAATCTGAATGCATCATCTATGTATTCTTATTTTATCAAAGAATTCAAATCAGCCCCCCACAAGATTGCCACCCACAACATCCAACAGCACATCTCTACCGTGTATTGGGAACATCTCCCGATGATGATACCAGAAATGAAATAATGAAATTATCTAATAAATTTAAAAATTATCAAAAACATAAAAATAATTTTAATAGATTTAATAATATTTGATAATAATAATATAAATATAAATATTTTAAAAAATTTTAAATATTATTGAACCAATGAAAAATGGATTTAATAATTTAGAAGTATTGAAGCTTCTAAATAGAAAAAATATGTAATAAACTTCAAAAAAAACTTTTTTATAGATATTAAAAATATAATAATAATTGCAATTATAAATGTACTAATAATAAAAAAACATTATTTCACTTATATAAATTAATAATTATAGAAAATAACTTTCAAAAAATTAATAAATAAAATTTTTAAAATATTTATCTATATCTATTACATATTTATATCTACTAAAATTAATATTTATCATATTTTTAGTAATTATTAGTTATATTTTTGTGATAAATATATTTTCAATAATTATGTGTACATTTATTTTTTTTTGTTATTTAACAATAAATTTTCAATAATTATTGCAGTTTAAATTGCTGTTATTTAACTTTTTGAGATTTAATTTATTGTACTTATTGTATTTTTGTTATAAATTTATTTTCAGAAGTTGTGTATTTTCATTATAATTTATTGATTAATACATATTAGAGATTAAACTATTGTTGGAGATTAAACTATTAGTTGACTAATTTAATATATTTTCAGTATTTATTGCATTTCATAACTATTGTATTTGTTGTATTTTTTATTAGTTATTGATTGTGTTTTTGTTATAAATTTATTTTCATTAATTGTATATTTTTGTGATAACTTTTTAATATTTATTAGTGATTAGACAGTTAATTTAGCTGAAATTAATTATTGCTATTTTGTATTGTAAAAAATTTATTAAAATTAGGATACAAATTCCAAATAATTATTAATTATTTAAAAGGTTAAAATATAAAAAAATTGTCTCCTCTTATGTGTTTCTATTGTTTAACTTTCACTTAACAAAACCCGTGCATCACATAGATCCCCGCTATTATTTATAAATAAAACTTGATTTAATCTCTTAAATTAAATAACAAATCTATACATAAAAAATCAAATAAAATAAAAGATGGGTGTCAAACAAAATTTATTAGAATACATAAATTAAAAAAGGTCAAATTTCTTAAACTACCCTTACTATTTAGTTAATTGACTAATTCTACCCTTACTATTTAACTATGTCTTAAACTAGCAATTGCCATTGTAGTTGAATCATGATGGAGAGAATGAAATGTCTCTTTTGCCCTTAAGTTAAGAGAAAAATTGCAAAAAAGAATCTCCCCCATGTTGAGCACTGATGACAACCATGAATACGATCCCGGAATCACGTCCCTGAATCTGAAGGACGATAACCATGAAAATGAAGTGGAATCACTTCCACTATCCATGAATCATGTCCCTATAGTCAAAAGAAGACAATAGTTGTCAATCAACTGAAAAGCAGATGAGTCTTGTTGTAGACAAGGGAAGAAATTAAAAGCAGGTAAATCACTGACTTTAGCAAAGTTTTAAGACCGACCCAACAAATTCAGCCGATTCGGAGAGACAAAGGAAAATCTCCATCAGTTTTCTTTGAAGGGAGGTCATCTTTGGGTTGTTCGAAAATAAGTCGCGGTAACCAAAGAGAGTGTGATCATGAAAGCGCTCTTGCCAAGAATGGCACAAGGACGGAACCAAAAGATCATGGAATGACCTGGTCCCTGAACAACACAAAGGGATGCGAAGGCGCTACAAGAAAAAGGCAGCAAAGAAAATAGTATAAACTACAACCGGAGGAGG